ACATATGAAATTTACTTTTTCATCACTGTATGTCTGTCTGAACGTTTATATTTTCGGAGGTTGAAATTATATATGTAGATTTGCTTCATGTTCTCAGTGGCCAATAAGGAAAGATTTTTGAATATTCCAACTGGTGACCCAGCTGCGGGGAAAAGAGGCGCGGTCATAGAATAAAGTTACATTTTCATTACTGTTTCTCCATACTGGTAAATTTCCAGATGCGGATTTTTTTTATGTAGGTTCGTTTTATTTAAGAAATGTGCAATGAAAGAGGATTTTCAAAAAATCCAAAGGCACGTCCATAAAACAAAATTATCTTCTCATCACTGTTTCTTTATGCCCTCAAATTTTCTGTGGGTGAATTTTTGTATGTAGCTTCGTTTTATGTTCCAGTCAAGACTAAATGATCGAAAAAAAAAATAATAGAGGGAGTATGAAAAAGTATGCTGCAAAAACACAGATGTGAATAGAAAGTGTGTGAAGAGGTATATTGAGAAAAATCCGAAAGTGAATAGATATAGTATGAAGAGATATAGGGAGAAAATTCCAGAGATTATTGAAAAAAGTATGAAGAGATATAGTGAAAAAAATGCTGAAGTGAATATAGAGGGTGTGAGGAGGTATACAATGAGAGAACGGACACCATGTCTATTTTGTGAAGCCGAGAAATGAAGAGATGAAACTCCTGGCTTTTGTTGTAATAATGAACATCCATTGAACATTATTCGGAACCCTTACATAGTCTTCTAACAAATTGTCTCCTTGAATTTTTCCACATTTTGAACAGTTTGAGAAAATAGGATGGTTGTTTCCAGATTACTTCATTTGGAGGCAAGGAGATTCGACAGGGAAACTTTATGCTCACCTTCAAAGTTCAAGGACAAGTTAACACAGAATTGAGAGTTTACAGTTGAGGACGCCTCTTTTCTGCAAGTATATATTGTTAGCGATGAGGTGAAAGAAACCTCATTGGAGTGTGGAATTTTCCATCTGTGAACTCATCTTTCCCAACTTTAATTGATGCTCCATCAAAAAACCCGTACATTGACGATTTCAAAACCTTCATTGGGAATGTTCAAGAGAGAGAAGATTTTAGGGTAGTCATTGAAGCGGATCAAAGGCCTTCTGATGCCAACAAAGGTCGTTTCAATCAACCAACGGTTTCAGAGGTGGCTTTGGTGATTGTGGGTCAAAAGTTTGAGGAATAGGAGGAATTCTAATCTGCAATGTATTCAACAAAATACATCATTCATATGATGCTTCGCAGTATCCTCCGATGTTTTGCCGAAGAGAGGATGGCTACTCTATAAATATGACCCAAGTAGTAAAGACGCCCTCAATAAAACTGTTTCTGCTTCTGATTTCTATACCTACATGTTAATGGAGAGAAATGATGTAATGAATTACATTTTACTCATTCGAAATCTCCTAATTAAGTATTTAGACATGGATGCTAAAATAGGAGGAAGAAAGTTTGAAATGCATTCGAGATAATCGAAGTAGATTGAGGGCGGAACATGATGTGGACTCATGAGATGCAAAATGTAGGACTTAAGGTCAGGTTTCTGATGTGTGACTGACGATAGTACTTTCATCCAGTTTTATTGGTGAACCCCGCTATATGCACGAACGAGCTCAAAACTTCATGATCGTATGGTCGTCCTGAACTCTTCATTACATTTACAAGACAGAAATGATCTTATAGGTCGCATCTTCAACTTGGAAATTACGACATTGATGCATCTTTTGACTAAAGCTAACGGAGGTGTAACAATTATATGTTTGAGTGACGAAAGCGGGGTTCACCACATGTGCATATTTTACAGAATATTGCAATCTGAAATTGACAATGTCATATCTCTAGGGATTCCAGATTCTGATACAGATTCTGCACTTTATGAAATTGTCGAAGCCACGATGTCCATGTGGAAGTTTGGACAGTTATTTACCCTGCATCTTGGACGTCTCTTGTAGCAAGAGACATCTACGTCCTTTCTGTAATTTCACTCAAACGGCTGACTATGGATACCCTCAATACCGGTACCGCTTCCTTGCTGATGGTGGCTTTACCTTTACTACTGATAGTATTGTTTTTAATATTCGATTGGTGGTACCATAAACCCAGTTTTGTTACGTATATTCCTGGCAACTATCAACGTAGAACTCTGTAATCATGTCAAATCCATCAATTATTGGAGAATTGGGTTGGTGAGGTGTCCAACAATTTAGTTGGGCGTTACATTAGCAATTCTGAGGCTGTGTGGAGAATCTTTTGTTTTCTTATCCACGAGAGATATCCTCATGTGATGCATCTAGCCGTCCATCTTGAGAATAGCCGAAGAGTATATTTCATTGCTGACAACATATCAAACAAATCACAAATAAATCTTCATTACAATTCGGCCTTCCTTGACCCACTCGAACAGATACTACAGCAAGTAATAATCGCGAATACTTGAGAGCGCTTTCTTTTGACATTAAAGAGTTATCGTTGACGGTAAAGAACAATGTACCCAAATTGAACGAATAGCAGAGACAAGCGTATGAAATAGTTCTCCTCAACATTCATACAAATGCGGGACAGTTGTTTTCCCGGGACGCTGCAGAAGGAACAGGAAAAAGTCTCCTCATTAACCTATCGCTTGCCAGTGTCAGAAAAAAAACCATAATATCACTGATCTCGTCAAATATCAGTCTGTAGACACAGCAGTGGATTTGGCCGCGGTGGTAGTGCGCCCAACTCACGATCGGAAGGCCGTGGGTTCAATTCCCGCCTTGACCAGATATTTTGCTAGAGCTGATTGAAGCTGGGATGATTCTGCAACGGTGTTAGGAATCATACGTTGAAAGGTAAGACCTCGTTAGTCCTTAGCTCGCACAAGTTTCTCAACTTCTGAGAGTTGTCGTTCGTATGGGGACGACAGCTGATTAACGGAAAAACAGATTTGAACAGATACAAACAGATCCTGTGGAGTTTTTAAATACTTTCAATCCACCTGATATTTCAGCTCACCATCTAAGTTTGAAAGTTGGAGCTCCTTTCATGCTTTTACGAAATTTTATTCCGCCAAAACTTTGTAATTGCACCATACTTCAGGTGAAAGCTTCACATAGACACGTTATGAAAGCCGTCATTTTTACAGGATGTGGTACGGGAGAAACCGTCTTCATGCCACGCTTCCCATTGATTCCCTCCTATTACCAGTTTTAATTGAACGACTTCAATTTTCTGTTAAATCATGTTTTGGCATAACTATCAACAAATCACAGGGTCAATCTTTGAAACTGGCTGGAGTTGATTTGAGAGATGACTGTTTCTCACATGGTCAATTATATTATGCCTCTTCCTGCGTGAGTACACCTGCAAGTCTGGTGATTCTTCAACCAGATGGAAAAGTGAATGATATTGTTTATTATAAAGTTTAAGACCCATAGAGAAAGCGAATGCTCACACTCAGATAATTTCAACATTGAAATATAGGGAAAATCCTGTCTAACAGAGTAAATTACCTATTCCATATAATATTTCTTTCATTCACAACAACTTCGCCAGTGTTTAGTGTTGACAATGTCTACACTGTGACCACCGACTTGACAACGACACTTTTTTTATCGGAGTGAAACATTTTCCTCCCCAGCTAGCAGAATTTTCAAAGCAACTTCCTTACGAACCAAATTTGCAAGTTATACATATGAGTTCCATCCAGATTTCAGCCTCATGGGACTTCCTAAAAATTGAAATGTGTGTACCATAAGAGGTGCTGGAAAAAATGCCCTTTTATAATAACCATAATATGTGGAACATATTTTTATATTTTTTAACAATATAGAAACAATATTTGCGCCACCTGAAATTTGCCGGTAGGGAGAAACAGTGAGGAAAAGGTGATTTCGATTTTTTAACGCAGCTTTTTTACTGCGACTGGCGGCGTCCCAGTTGAAATATTTGAAAATCTAGAACGTGTACATAAGAAACCTACATTTTTATTTATACTCGAATTTAAGCCTTCTAGGAATATGGATATAGGATATAGATGAGAATCATCGATGCCTAATCTTCCAATATTATCGTCCGTAGTGAAACACGGGTAAAACAGCTAGTGTGATATAATGCTATATGGTTGTATTATGAAGCACTCAAGAGTTTCTGGAAACCTAACGTGATCTCTTTTCAATTCGAGAGGCATGTATATTGAATCAATCCCAATAGCATTGAAATCATTATTTGGGTATGAATATATCCGAAATATGACGAAATTTTAGAATTGATGAAAACCATTTTGAGCGACTTGTGAAATTTTCATATATAAAACAAAATCATTCCCCTCATTATTTCAAAACAGAATACAAAAAATTTTAAATGGATACTCAAAGATTCCGTAACGATTATTCATCAGAGTCTTTATGCAACATTGCACTCGATATCACAGGGAAATGGTTTACCTCAGAATATCATAATAACAAACGAATCACGATATACTTGACAATGTATTCCTTTCATGGAAAGATCGACTGGCCAGAAATCTTATAAATATTCGTCAACAAGAAACAACTAAACCTCTTTAAAGTCATACTTATATACTTTGTCTTTTCATGTAATTATTGATATGATAGTATAATATACAATTACTATATTGTAACCGTATGATTCTGTTCATTTTGTTTATTTTATTTTAGGACATGCTCGAAATCACTAGTATTATTTACTTCAACAGTTCAACTTGTTGACGTGTGTGGAGTATTGTTATATATTTTTTCATTATTACTATCATCTATTTCGTTATAAATCACTAATGTGTTTTGTGTTAACTCACCTGAAATACCCCTCAATATTTTATTCTCATTTTATATGTTATTATCTTTCAATGTGCATAATGCGTGAATGAATTATTATTATTATAAAATAATTCATATGAAATAATAATAATAATCTAATTTGATGTTATCTTTTGATGCTGGATGAGACTTCGTAATGATTAAAAGTTTTTTTTCTATTTCAGAAACGTACATGCCGATTACGTGAAAGATATGGTGACGAAAGGAGTCAACACTCGTAGATACGAAGCCACTCTAGGGGACATGCAATCCAATGAAGAGGATAAATGTTACTGTACCACACCTAAAACATGTTTGAGAAGGGGAGTTTTTGATTTATCCAAATGTATGGGAGTACCTATTTATGCTACCCTACCTCATTTCTTAGAAGCAGATGAAATATATCTCCAGCAAGTACAAGGATTAAAGCCATCGGCTGAAGAACATATTATTTATCTTCTCTTAGAGCCGGTGAGTTTGAGCAATCGGAATCATCATTTCCATGGAAAAACAGCAGACTATATGAATATTACAAAAAAAATCCATTGTCTCATTTTCGATGAAGTTATTCTGAAATCATTCAAGAGATACCCTTTTACAGAAGAATAGTTTCAATAAAACATAAATTTTCCAATTCTGGTCCCGGAAAATTGACTAAATGATAAAAATAAAACGACTTCTTGTCCTCTGTGAAGAAACAAATATTCTTTGTGTTATGAATATATTCTCCATTTCAATTTCATCAATGACAAACACCTATAATCATTTTCACTTCAACCGTTCCTACTTTTTTCATTGAGAATTCGTTAATGACGAAAAACATTTGCACAATGATGAAAAACTACCTTTTCAAGTATAAGAGCCAAATCCGGAAGACTAGCATTACGAGAAATAATTTCGGAATACATTCTTTCAAATGAAGTAAAGATGAAAATATTGGCCTGCTTTGAAGTGAATGTAACGTTCCGAAGGAATATGCTGAGAACCAGTTTGAATGTTGAGAAGTTTAGAGCTTATATCCACCAGACTAGAAAACGGTAGATTGTTTAGAGTCACAGAGTTTTTGAGGTGTGGAAAGTGGTATCTGTAGAAAATATCATACACTGAAGGACAGCTAATTGAAAGTCAAAATGACTTCTATTAGAACGTTCAGATTTGGAGAGTTCAAAACATAACCGGATTCTGTTTCCTTCAAATGATCATGATATATTGAATGAATATATGCAATATTTTTTCGATTGTCATCGTTTCAATCTAGAATGTATTCTAATCCTGTTCATTACTTGATGTTGAACTGACAACTCTGCTAAGAGTTGAATGATGAATAGCTTCGATAAGACAGTACCTACATAGGGAAAGTTAAAGAATCCTAAACAAATCTCAGTTACCTCTTTCTGGTTTAGAAGAAAAAATTATAAAAAACACGTCATCAAGATGGATTTGTATCATATTCGTATCATTTTCACACTCGTTCCTTGAATTAGAGCAAGAAAGCAGTATTTGTGCCCAGTTGAAATGACCAACTCTTGATTTGCGGGAGCAAGGGCGCAGGTGGGTTCTTCATTTTTTATGAATTTTGAGTGCTGAAAAGGGTTACCAAATTGTGAGCTTTCATTTGGACGCCATCTACAGAAGTTTCTAGAAATACTGTAGCACTTTTCAATACTTCTCACAGTGGACCAACTCAGTTACATCAGGACAAAAGATACTCCAAGCATATAATAATCACTGTGTGTTCATAGGCGAAGCGAGGCACCGAGAGACTTTCTCAAAAAGTGTATCCCTCACACATAAAGTCGGTATCGATTCAACGTTCAGGCAATGCTACCACCTGTTCCATCAGTCCTTTTGAACATATACATGGCTAATACATGACATCACTGACATCACTGAAAGTAGATATCTCACCACTCTACTTAAATAACTATGAAAAACAAGTATATGACTGAACAAAAGAAGAAGACAACTTGTTGACATCTATTTGTGTACATTACTGTGAAATGTATGAAGATGACCAAAATAAACAATATGGACTTAGGTGTCTGCATTCTGATAGTGATTTATTTGGAGTCATACTGCAGGCAGTGCAGACTGCTCAGAGGAATACCAGATCTGAGAAAATAGATATTTAAATAATTGTCATTATGTCACAATCTACGAGTTAGAATTGGCAAAGAAAGGTTTTTTTGTGTTTAGATGGTCTCGCAAACAGTATAAAATAAAAAGTGGTAAATGAAATGGTTCAATTATGGATAGAGAAAGTGTTTCAATTAGTCTCATTCAATGCCAGAATTTTTGAAATTCTTGGGTAGACCGGGGCGAATCGGATCACTTTTTCGTTGAGGTTGAGCAAATCATACTAAAGTGTTGAGTATAATGTTAATTTCATTGATAAAAATATAAGCTGTAACAATCAGATATGAAATGAACATTCTAAAACTTAGATCATCCATATTTTCTCCTAATCAACTATTAAAAACTGAAAATAATGTGGGAAGTGTCCCAATTTTCAGGGCGAATCGTATCGTACACATGTGAGTTTCTTAACACATAAGCTTTGGAATCAGTAGAAAATTATTAATGAGATCAATTTCAATTATCGTTACATAAATCACATATATGTTTTGTCCCTTTCATATCAGCAAATTTTTCGTGGCACCATTAGCAGGCATTGCACTGAATCCAATCCTCTGATAGTGGATGAACGAATATTTTGGAACAGTAAATTCATAGTATTTCCTTATCCGACATTCTTTTTCTTATTTTTCTCGCTTTTATTGTTGAGCTTGAATTTCTTCATTGTTTCTTTTTCGCAAAGAGTAGTATTACTCTTAGGTGATGTTGAATGCAAGACCAGTTTTGAAACTTCACGAATACTCTTAGAAGCAATTGGTAACCTCACAGGTGGTAGAATAATCTCTTCAATTATTTCTGTACAGGCTTTGTCAGACTGTTGCGAAGTTGTGGATAGCACTATATTATCGAGTGGTTTTGTATTTTTAGAGATTGGTTTCGTGGCTGCGCCTGACACTCTCTCTGTTTTGCTGATGAATTTGGGACTCCACAATGTCCGACTCATGATCACCGACGAACTTGTGGTCAGTTATTGCATTGGCGTTTAATGGAAGTAGTCCAGTCTTTTCGAAGCCCATTGGCAGAGTGCTTCGAAAGCGACTCTTATCGCTTTCTTGATTCGGATGTGAATATTGCCATGCTATAGCTTGTTGGTTTTGAGCGGTTTGAAAAACGACACAGCAAGCGGTTGCAGAGCATGTAATGTGTGGAGAAAGAAGAACAAGTTCAATTCCAAAAAAGTCACACAAGTCTACCACTGAGTAGTTACCACTGAGTCATTTTATTGAGGTTCGATAGCGATTGGAATGTGATCTAGCCTTGGTGATCTAGCCCTTTTCTGTCATGGCAACTTCAGTAACAGGTGGAATACTTAGGAAAAAATCATCACGTTGTGTTGAAATCGTAATCGTTCTCTTAAAGGTAGCACGCTTTGGTGGATTTGGTCTTCTCAACAAAAAACACTTTTTATATTCGGAGACTTTCGTTTTGAAATTTCTTGAAGTTTTTACTGCATACACTTCTGGACATGATCCGCATGTATAAAAACTGAACAACACTATGTACGAAATACTCCATGTAGGAGCAAACAGACAGAAGTTGAACCTGCGGGAGTCTCTGGAAATAGATAAGGGGAAACATTCGAGTTCCCTGCTGAACAAACAACAGTAGGTCAAACATTGTTGAAGATTTTTTCATGAAACCAATAATTCATATTGAAAAAATCCACCTGTTGTCTGAAAACTGAAAGTATAATAAGTTTTTATAATTTTGCCTGGTATTGCTGGCATTACCAACCAATTGAGTTAGGTACTCACTGTAGTTCTATATAAGAATTGTAGCACTGTTTGTTATTTTCATTTCTACTAAGGAAGCTACGATGTTAGCGAAATGCGTCCAAAAATAAAAATGTTTGCGTAAATTGTGTAATTCTCATCATGGATTGTGTTATTGATTCTCATCAATGTTCATTTGAAAAGCGGTGAACACTTAATCGGCACTAATGATGAAATGGAAAGGAAGTTAACATGGTTATGAGTACATGTATTCTGCTTTTTAAAGATATTTCATTGTTTTTCTGATGGTTATTATATATATGTAGGTGAAATTTGATGTTGGAGAAAAAACGATCGATTCGACAGTCAGAAAAACACACTTCAGTTGTTACTTCTATATATTCCTACAGTGATAAATGAAACGTTTCGTGTTTTTCATCCCATAATTGCTTGGTACTGTATCTCAAGAAATTATTCAACACCAATTAAGAAAAATGTCATTTCGTTATTTTCGTTTCGTCAATTCGTAATAATTAATCTCCTCCAGGCTATCAAGTATAAGAAATTATTCCAAAACTGTATTTCGTAAGCGAAAAACATTTTGTAAAACATATTGATGAGTGAGTATCGGTTGCAATTACATGGTGTTTTGCTGAAACAGAAGGGGAGAAAGGAAAATTCTTACGAAATAAATTTTTGACTAAAAAAAATATAGATTCAATTCATAGAGTTTGTTCGAAACGTATCTTTTATTGTTGACAGATACCACTTTTGCGAAAAAATACTTTTTGAATAATTGATAATCGTTGAGTACCCTTTTCTTTTCGAAAACAAAGTGGAAAACAATTATTTTCACAATAATTCACAAAATGGTCGGAGCAAAAAGTTGTCAATGAATTTAATATTTGCATAGGCACTACGATTCAAATAATGTAATAGTCTTGGAATACGAAATGAGGTGAAAAAATATCAGTTTTCGTGTTTTTTCGCAAGTGAAAAACTGAGATTACCATTAAAGTACATTGCATGAAATTTTTCGAAAAGTTTAACGAGTATTTCCAATAGATCCAAATGTACAAAATCTTCCACTGAAGTAGATAGAAAATAAATTCCGTATGTTATTTAATGTGCCGACGAAATTATATAAATCATTTTTTGTAATTTATCTCATATCATGTGTCCTGACCCACGTTGCCGATTCTAAAAATAAAATCCATTGATTTGAACTGAAAATAAACGCAATTTCATATGTGTACGATGTGAATTGAAACGAATTATCATAATTCAGGAATTATATTTCTCATATCAAATGGTTTTCACCGAAAGATGTACTTTTAAAATAGTTAGTATTTTCAAATTTCAGCTCACAGGGACTCCAATAATAGCGAAAAAAAGGATGCAACTCAATTTACCCGTATTTGCCAATGAGAAAATATCGCTGATGAAAAATGTATCAGAATCACTCCATCCTATATTTTGGATAGAAGAGGTAAGATATAATGGGTGCATGTTTCTCCAAAAACAGAATTATAAAGAATTTTCATGAATTTTATTATCATCAACTATAATGGTGGGCTAGTGAAACTATTGATGATGATGAATCGAATAATATATCTCAAGAAACATACATGTCCATACAGGAAATTGAAAGAGTTGAATATGTATCAAGTTTATGAATAGATTTAAAAAAAATAACAATTTGTAAAAGCAAAAAATATATTCAGTCAAATCGGACATCATAAACGCCAATACAAAATTATATAACGTAACGATATTATCCAGAACTCATCAGATAAAAATTATTTATCTGATGAGTTGTGGATAATATCGTTACATTCTTTTATTTCTGTCCTAAATTCAGTAATAAGATTGATATTTCTATGTACAGTCGATAGGATTGTTTCTGTTGAACGGTTGAAAAATAAGGTAAATGTTCAAATTTCTAGGACTTCGAACATTCCATTAGCGATTTCATTTTATTTAAGTTGGTACACTTGTTTCGAACATATTTTCACAGTTTCAGTGGCATAAACATTAGAAGTGTTTTGCGTGTCCGGCAATTTTCTGCATCCGAAAAAAATTGATCAGAGAATTTACATCAAATTTTTGGTAAGAAAAGAAATGAAGTGCTCAGAAATAGTTATATTGACAATGGCATATGGTGAATGTTCTCTGAGTCAGAAAAATTTCTACAAGTGTTGTAAGGTCCTCACAGATGATCTAAAAGATATGAATGACAACGCTCACCTTGGACGATTAACAGCACATCAACAATCAATGGAAATGATGAGAAAGTGGAGAAAATCGTTATCTACAATCGTCCAATCACTATTAGAGAAGTTGACGAGAATGTCGACATATTGGTTGACCCATGCCATGCAATTTTTTCGAAAATTTTGGGCATGAAGTGTGCGCCAGCGCAATTCGTCCCAAAATTGCTGAATTTTTATCAAAAAAATCATCGCATAAACATCTCTCAGAAATTTTCAGGACGTCAACGGCCATCCAGATTTGCTTAGGAGGGTCATAACTGGTGACGTATCGTGGGAATATGGTTATGACATCGAAACGAAAGTTCAGTCGTCCCAATGGAAGACCCCAGGAGAGCCAAGACCAAAAAAGTACGTCAAGTTTGATCAAATGACAAGCAATACGAAGAATACGTCCGGTATTGAGTAGAAAAAATTTCGTGGTTTTGGCATCACGACAATACACCTGCCCACTTGTTGTTGCTTGTTCGTAGGTTCGTAGTTTTTTGGCCGAAAACAACACCGTTGTTTGCCTCACCGGTGGCCTTAGCCACCACATTTTTCATCAGATCTGCCCCCTACGACTTTTTACGTTTTCAAATTTGAAAAGACACATGAAACGATGACGTTTTGTGACAATTGAGGAAATAAAAACCGAATTCCTGGTAGAGCTCAAGGATATACTGAGTGCATATCAGAACTGCTCAAAGGATTGAAAAAACGCCATCACAAGTGTATACTATCTAAGGGGAAATATTTTGTCTGTGAAATGAACCCTAAATTTTTAGCTGACAGCGTATTTCGTGGCGTACATCCACACTTTGCCTTTTGATGCCACCTCTTCATGTTCTCCTTCATCTACTATTATTTCAAAGCATGGACAAGTTTGTTTACTATCCTGACTAAAACTTCAAAACTCATTCAGTCTTCAAGTTTGGTGTACATCATAAGTGGACAGGCAGTTGACAGAGAAAGTCATTTTACCCCCATCTATAGTTAACTGGTACTTTTGGATTTTGAATATGAGTCCACAGCTATATAGTGCCTTTTCGGGCTTCTTCTCATTATCACTTTGGTATCACCTTTTCAGTCTGAAGAATGAGATGATTGATCTAATTAATTTTTCATTTGGTCCAAGATTTCAATCATGTTACTTACAGCGGAGATATGTTGAAAAATAAGGTAAATGTTCAAATTTCTAGGACTTCATACATTCCATTAGCGATTTCAATTTATTTATGTTGGTACACTTGTTTCGAACATATTTTCACAGTTTTAGTGGCATAAAAATCAGAAGTGTTTTGCGTGTCCGGCAATTTTCTGCATCCGAAAAAAAGAATTTACATGAAATTTTTGGTAAAAAAAGAAATGAAGTGCTCAGAAACAGTAACGTGATTGTTCTCTGAGTCAGAAAAATTTCTACAAGTGTTGCAAGCTCCTCACAGATGATCGAAAAGATATGAATGACGACGCACGCCCTGGACGATTACCAGCACATCAACAATCAATGAAAATGATGAGGATGTCGACATATTGGTTGACTCATGTCATGCAATTTCTTAGAAAATTTTGGGCATGAAGTGTGCGCCAGCGCAATTCGCCAAAAAAGTACGTCAAGTTTGATCAAATGACAAGCAATACGAAGAATACTTCCGGTATTGTGTAGAAAAAATTTCGTGGTTTTGGCATCACGATAATACACCTGCCCACTTGTTATTGCCTGTTCGTAGGTTCGTAGTTTTTTGGCCGAAAACAACACCGCTGTTTACCTCACCGGTGGCCTTAGCCACCGCATTCATCGGATCTGCCCCTACGACTTTTTACGTTTTCGAATTTGAAAAGACACATGAAACGATGACGTTTTGTGACAATTGAGGAAATAAAAACCGAATTCCTGGTAGAGCTCAAGGATATACCAAGTACATATCAGAACTGCTCAAAGTATTGAAAAAACGCCATCACAAGTGTATACTATCTGAGGGGAAATATTTTTTGTGTGAAATGAACCCTAATTTTTTAGCTGACAGCGTATTTCGTGGCGTATATCCACACTTTGCCTTTTGATGCCACCTCTTCATGTTCTCCTTCATCTACTATTATTTCAAAACCTGGACAGGTTCGTTTACTATCCTGACTCAAACTTCAAAACTCATTCAGTCTTCAAGTTTGGTGTACGTCATAAGTGGACAGGCAGTTGACAGAGAAAGTCATTTTACCCCCATCTATAGTTAACTGGTACTTTTGGATTTTGAATATGATTCCACAGCTATATAGTGCCTTTTCGTGCTTCTTCTCATTATCACTTTGGTATCACCTTTTCAGTCTGAAGTATGAGATGATTGATCTAATTAATTTTTCATTTGGTTCAAGATTTCAATCATGTTACTTACAGCGGAGATACATGTTTTGTGAAGTTTATTAGATTTCAAAAAATTTCAGAACCGAAATATGTTGTAATGATTACGTCTTATTCATATATTACTATTCTATTGAACCATTTGAAAGTAATCAATTGATAGTCTATACATCATTTCCTCTCGAAGACATTTCCTTGGCATTATTCAGTTCAACTTGCATTGCCATATCAATTGTTCATTGGTGTATTTGATAAATTGAAAAACCATGGAATTCATGGAAAACTATTTTTCAGAATGAGTTGGTAAAATATAATGACCAGAACGAAACTCTAAATATAGAAAAGGTTATATTGGAAAATTATCAACACATAAATTTTTTTCCTCCGTAATGCAGAATATATCTGGAAGCATTTTATGAAAANTTATGCGATGACTGTCATCGCAAAAAATATTGAATGCATAAAGAAGGCGACTAGTAATTGAACATATAAATTGTTAAAATGTTATTGGCCCAACAGGATATTCAAAAAATAATTGGTATTTTTCCATAATAGATGAAGAACAAATGTTTAAAATCAAAAATTAATGAAGAAGAGTAAAAATGAATAGCTGAAAAAAAACCAATAATACTAAGCAAAAACCTGAAATGAAAAAGTAGTGAAACAAAAAACAAGTAAAATTGAACAAATTGAACAAAAAATAAATTAAATATAAATAAAATGAAATTGAAAAGTCAAGAGATTCCAAGCTAAGTTAATTCACGACGTTTCGATTGTTAGTATCCACAATCGTCTTCAGGTAATTACTGTCATCACCCGAAAATTAGAAAATGAAACACAACTTCAATTTCTTGACGTTTTGGTAATAAGGAGCAATATGGAAAGTTGAAATACGATGTATTTAGATAAGAAACAAGTACGTACAGGTGTATTCCTGACTGTTCACATTACCGTGGACAGCACAAAAGAGATGGGTTGATTTATCTAGTGCATCGTCTTCTGACTTTTCCTCTAACACATTAGAGGTTCACAAAAGAAGAACGTACAATACACAGAATAGCAGCCAGTAACGGTTACTCGAGGGTAATTGTAGATGACATAATAAGAAAGAAGAAGTTAAGGTTGAGAATGAACGAAACCTTGACTTTCAAAAAGGACAAAAACCAAGATAAATATATCTCAGCTCCATACTACCAATATACAAAGAACTTTGGAAGGATTTTCGAAGAACTCGGTATGAAGGTGGTTTTTAAAACAAGTCATATAATACAGACCCTTTAAGGATGTGCAAAAGGCGAAGTCGAGAATTCGGAAAAGTCTTGAATTTATGAATTTAAATGTAAGGACTGCGATGCAAAATATCATGAACAGACTAAAAGATCTGAAAAAAATACATAATAGTATACTATATAACTTTTCAAAATAATATTTTATTTATCAAATTCACCTGACTATTACATAAGGACACATTGTGAAATCAATTCAAAACTAGTAGATAGAGCAATATTGTGAAATCAATCCTATATAGCTTATGATGTTTCAATTATTAGATTTACCTGACTATTTATGAATTTATCTATGGTATAAACAAGGATAACTTTGTAAGTTTTATTAGTTTGATCTTCCTCTCGAAGATGATCACTTGGTGATAGAAACACGTATCGAGGTGTTAAAAATAAAGTTTCAGTGTTGGGAAAAAATTCCAGTAATATTCATTACTACATCAAAGGTTTCAAATAGTGCATCACAAATACTGTCTTCAAGTTGCATTAGCTTGTTACTGATAATGATGACCTTTGATGAAGTGAACTGAAAGAGAAATTCATTCACAACCATCAAATTTAATTTCATACTGTGAGTATTAAGTGAGTATTTTTATACCAGAAGACAACACAAAAGACAAATGCGACTTCAACCTTTGAAGTAATTCACTACGGAAAACGAAACCGATGCAATTGCAATGTTTTTCCATTACGCATGGGAGGTCGTTTGAATGTATTACTCATGAAATTATTTTTTTTTTATTTTGCGAACTTTGAACATATAAATTTAAATTTCATGATGTAGAAGGCAAAGGAAATGTACATGAAATGCTTGATCATACTTCATGTCCAATCTTCAAAATTATAATTATGCAGTATATACTGCATGTTCACTTGTACTACACATCACCGGATTGGAAGAAAAGAGAAAAGCCGTCCATTACCAGGGTTGTGCTGATTATTATAATCGTGATAATTCAATCACAGCTCACTTTTTTCATTAAATCATCCAGTAAATTCCATAAAGGAGATGAATTCATTCTATTTCCTGATTCAGAAGTTGAGGGTGAAAGATATTGAATTGAGAAGGGGAGAGAAAAGAAACATCTAACATCAGTTGAGAAATAATAATGGACGGTGGACAATTGTGTAATACAACCAAACTAGGGAAAGATAATTGGCAGAGAAAAAATTGTATATTATATCGTTGTTTTTTATTCTTATGATTGTTTAGGTTGTTCGTTATCAAACAAATATTCACAGTATTGTGATGAAATAATAGTAATGATAATTTATTCCCACAAGTTTTACAACAGTGTCATTAAAATTAATGTGTTGCGAATCAATAAAGATAACTCACAAAAGGTAAACTGAGCTTGGTAACAAAGAAATGCGACCTTAATTACTTTTTGGAAAATCGTATGATCAAGATTTCTTTCAAAGAGAGATGCTAGTACTGCTAGTCTAGAAACAGTAACATCCGACAGTGGAGAAAATGATGTTGGCATGGACATGGCCTGAGAAAGTAGTGATATTGAAAATCTAAATGGGACCATGAGGAAAGAAAATAAAATTTCCAAAGCGGTTGAATAACCACCAGCAAAGGAGTGTGGCTTGCTAAAACAATATAAAAAACCTAATATTGTAGTGAGATCATAAAATGAAGCATAATATATATGGAAGAGCATGATAAGTTGAATCTACATGTGGGAAACATAGAAAAATTGTAGAATATACATTTTTTCACTGAGTTCGTTGTTGAAACAACATTCAGAAACTTCGAAAATAGATCAAGGAGCAAGAACTTGAATTGGTGATTTTGGTTAAAGAGCACAACTAATCTTTTTCAGTAGTAGAATGCTCATTACAATGTATATCCTCTTTATGCGATGACTGTCATCGCAAAAAATATTGAATGCATAAAGAAGGCGACTAGTAATTGAACATATAAATTGTTAAAATGTTGTTGGCCCAACAGGATATTCAAAAAATAATTGGTATTTTTCCATAATAGATGAAGAACAAATGTTTCAAAAACACAATACTTGGCAATCATTGGGAGGTACTGTATTAAGCGGAAAATACATGTTCAGGATTATGATAGGTGGAAGTGACTACTTGTGAAGAACTATTTCATTTAGTCAAAAAAATTCTGGATATCTATGAAATTCCACAGGAGAAGTTGATTGAGTTTACTGCCGGCGATTATTGTCTTACTTGGCGGAATAATTTAGAATGGTTTAGAGACTGATTCAAAAATTAATGCCCAGTTCATGAACAAGGGTGTTTCTGTCATTTTTTGGCCCTTTCATCCTCAAATGCTTAGTAACAACCCCCTAGATCAGTGGAAGCTTTGGCAGAAGATGAAGTGAATTATTTTTGTCAAATTTCAAAAAGACTAACTGATTTTACTATAGTTTGTTTCGAAAGTTTCATATGTTTCATATGTGTCTGTAGATTTATATCTCAATTAATATCAATTCAACATTGGTTTGCAAAATCTTGTAGCCTCGAAGATGAGCCCCGAAGTGGTCAACTTACAGTAACTCAGGGCGAGGATTTGAGGACCCTGATAGAGACTGACTAATCACAAACGGTGCGTTTGATGGCCAAAGGACTGGGCGTCAGCTTTCATGCTGTTTTTGATGGTTTGAAACGTACTGGAAATGCCAAAAAAGTCGAAAAGTGGGTGCTACATGATTTGGTCGATCAACAGAAATTATCACGTCACGAAAACTGTTCGTCTTTGCGTTTGTGCAACCAAAATGATACTTTTTTGATCGCATCATCACGTGTGATGAAAAGTGGATCCTCTACAACAACATGCGACTTCCATAACAGTGGTTGGACACCGATGAGCCATCCAGACACCAAAGGCGAAAACCCACCAGGCCAGATTATGTTTACTGTATGGTGTTAGCGGCTGCTTTGATTCAATATATCTTTCTGCAATCGGGCCAAACCATCACAGCAAAGTCTCATTGCGAAATATAGGGAACATTGAGTCAGCAGCAGTCGACACTGGTCAACAGAAGAGGTTTGATCCTGTTCCATGACAACGCCCGTCCGCACGTTTCACAAATCACTACCCGAAAATTGAATGAATTGAGCGTCGGAATTAGTTTCATTTCGACGGGATTATTCGACTTGTATAACGTTGCCCCAAGTGTTACGATTCCAATGGCGTTGATGTCAATTGAATTGAATGAGTACTCACTAAGAGATTTCAGTTTGGAGTAAACTGAAAGTACTACTGGACAAAACTTTCGAAACAATCAATATATTTGAAATATTTGCAGAAACCAAAATTTATTTCCTACTGAAACATAGCCAGACAAAATGTTTTTGAAATAATGCAGTTGTAACTCATATTTTAGAGTAGGTAGGTAGGTCTGAAGTGATTGGGTCTATTCGATCCTCCACCGCAACCCGCAAGGGTTTATTATGGCTCACATCTATTCACACTCGGCCAAATAAACCCAGCTTGTCAACGAAGTCGATTAGTTTGTATGGTGAGTGGTCTTTCAGGTCAGATGGTGAGAGTACGGATCTACCGAACTTAAAGAACCTGATTCGGTCCCCAGCGGGGCAGACACGAAGTATATGCTCTGCTGTTTCATCATTTTCCAGATAGAGGCAACACGCACTGTCTTCCGACAGTCCCAGTCTCTGCATATGATGATTCAAATGACAGTGACCTGTAAGAAGGCCTGTTAGACATCGTAGTTCATCCCTACTATAGTCCAACAACTGTTTGAAATTAAGCTTCGAAGGGAGAATAAACGCCTTGGAGTAAGCCAATCCTGGAATATTCTGCCAGAAGTCTATAAATCTTTTTGTCATCCAGGTGTTCAGTGTTTGTTTGGCAAAGCCCAAAGCGATGCCAATGACAGGTTCTGATCCAATGAAGCCGCTTGCAGCATCCTCCTTTGCAAGAGAGTCCGCAGCTTCATTGCTATCTTCCAGACCAGAGACAATCTGTTAAGTCTTCCTTCCTAGGAGCCAAGAGCTTTCAACGCCGCTTGACTGTCCGAGACTATTTTCATTGACTTGTGAGTGAGGTTGGATTTATCCAATCTCTCCGCACACAATTCTATAGCGTAGATTTCCGCTTGAAATACAGTCGCATAAGTTCCCAGGCAGGTAGAGAACTCTGTCTTGGATCTGCGACTGAAAATACCTGCACCAGAACCGGAAGATATTTTTGATCCATCTGTGAACCAACAACTATCTGCTCTTAATATTTCCTTCTCCCGCATGATCCATTCCTGTCTACTCGGGAATAGTAGTTTATAAGTATAAGGCAGTTCGTAGTTGATAGTTGGAGGCATAAAATCAGAGGTAATTTCCAGAATGCTGTGACTTCCAATGTCGACCAACAGTCTGTTGCACTCAGCATTGAATTGATTTGTGCAATTGACAATGTGCACAACTCTGTATACAGTCCATCTAGCCTCTCTTTCCAAAAAAATGTGGAGAGGAGGTACATCTAGAAGGATCTTTATGGCCGCTGACGGTGTGATACTGATGGCACCACTGATAGCCAGATTAAGAAGTTATACAGATACCCATCTCGAAGTTTCGGATAATTAAATTACTCTCCGTCTTCAGGATTCCCTTCATTCCTGAACTTCCATGACAGATGTCAATCAGATTTTTATATGTTAAATATGTAAATGTTATGTTTCTTCAAGTTGGGTAGCCAAGAACAATGCATTACTGAGTAGCTGTTCGAAATACACTTTTTCCGTGTATTATTTTACGTCTTTAATGACTGACTTAGGTTGGTTTGGATTGTCAGGTAAACTAGCTGATGAAGAAATAACATTTATTTACAAATGAACACAATAGTTAAGCAAATAACAATGTCAATCAATTTTTAAATTTTTTGCACTTCCTGCGTTAACACTACTTGTAACAAAATAGTGAACAAGAGATTTGAGAGCATATTTCACAACGTAATACAGTAACACTAAACTGGCGAATAACAAAGCCGCTACATCCAGTAAGTAATATTGTATGACTCCCAGATTTCTTGAAGGTGACTGTAGATGTTTAGCGCCCCGATGTCTCAAAACGTATTCAGTCCAATAAACTGCTCTTTGCAGTGGAGTTACAGGCTGATCTAGCAGCAGATATTGTCGCTTTTTCACTTCTTCCCGGTATTTGGGGTCACGGATGACTTTTCTAATGGCCCATAGAAGTTTTTCAGCGGTGAGTGAGCCTAAATCTAGTTTCAAAGCGTAGCCATCGTCTTCCGCTTTGGCCGCGTTCGAGTCGTGATCGCAGAAAACTGGGAGTGAAACAATTGGAACTCCATGAAAAACAGTTTCGAACATGCTGAGGAGGCCGCCGTGAGTGACGAAAGCTCTCAATTTTGGATGACCTGGAACAACAAATCATGTGAATTAGAATTATAATTTTTTTTGATCACAAGGACAATTGATATGAAGTTGTTAAATCCGGTTGTATCTTTATCATACATACATACAAACTATTGAATTATCCAGCACCAAATAAAAAAAACGTTATTTCTTCTATGTGAAGACTTTTTATAGTTCCCAAGAATTGAATACACTTGCGTCGAAAATGAAGTACATAGTGAAGTCTATTCTGAGATGGCTTTATGTATAAGGAGTTTCATTTGAGAAAACCGAGAAAAAAGATGATGATACACTATCTTCAAAAATATTGAGTATTTTCATACTCAAAAAAAAATACCACATAAAAAAAGTTTTGACTCCTCACTGATACAAGGAGGATTATTTAAATTCACATGATGAAATCGTTATATGGTTTGAAATTATAATTTACTGATGAAAGCCATGTGACTGCAGACCACAGAGAGAAATAAAAAACAATTGACACTGACAGCTGTCCTGTCAGTTTGAAAAATCGTTCGTTTGTAAGTTTATGTTTAAGTGTGGAATGAAAGAGAACAGTTATGGTGCAAGTGTGATCAGAGTCATCTGCTGTTTTGTGAAATTATCAATGAGAAAACTTAATGTCAAAAACATGAAAATTTATTATTAAAATGAAGTAAAGCCCTGCCTTGGGGAGGTTGTATATTCGTTATTTTTTTAAATATTTTGTTATCAGTTGAGATATTGAGAATTCAGCAATGTTACTGATTTGAAAATCATGTAAATTTTTTTCAATAATAAATAAGAAGGCATAGATATCGCTGAGGTGATCAATGTCTGATCTTTTATTAAGACAACTATTTGATTGTAATATAAATGACATTTCCGAAAACAACCTTTTAGATGTATTTCTTTCAAATGCTAAGTTTTTAGTTGAATTGTAGTCCATATCGTGACCTTCTTTAAAAACATGACTGCTTAGAGTACATCTCTCAGGATATTTTCTACTATCACTTTTGTGTGAAATGTTTCCATCTTCAAGTGGCTGCCATCCTCACCAAGAGTAAGTTGAGCCTTTATATTATTGCATCACTTTTTTGTAGCTTTT